GTTTTGAGAGTAATGAATGTACAAATGTGCTTTACACAATTGATGTATGTATGGATTGTGATAAGAGTTGTATGAGCCCCTAATAAAACGATTTAAAAAAAAAAACAAGCCATGTCTCAAAGCCTTTTAGAACCCAGAGATTTTACACAACGAAGACCCAGAGTGTGCCTTGTCCTTCCTTTCTGCACTAGGCTGGGCACCCTAAGTCCAAGCCGGAGGCTGTCTGAGTGAGGGCACGTGAGTCTCCCGCTCCCTTCGCACCTGTAAGCTCTGCAGCACATTCAGGAAGTCATTCATTCCCGTTAGGTGTTCCACGTCCTGGAAGACGGCGACCAGCAGAGTGGGGATGATGGCAATAGAGCGAGTGAGAATCACTCGGGCAAAACGGGACCATTTCAGGTTCAGGAATCCCTGCAAGAAACCCCAGGAGCAGATGAGCAGCAGGGTCACGAAACAGATGAGGGGCTGGGGGGATGGGGAGAGAATGTGGAGTGGAACTAAGAAGCAGTCACTGGAGGGTGAAGACCTCACCTTCTATCCCACACCAGTCAAACCAGCACGTACCTCCATGACAAACTGGCCAGAATAGGTCCCTGTCATGGTGGAGCTCTGGCCTGCAGCCAGGATGCCCACGGCCCAGATGTACAGGGCAGCGTGCCCAAAGTAACAGCCCAGCACAACGCCCTGCGAGGGACAGGAGAGAAAGAACGCTCGTGTCAACAATCTGCTTACACAACGCCGAAACAGCATGTCTCAAGGCAGCGCCCTCTTCTCCCGGCCCACCCTCCTACACAAAGAACCAAGGAGCCCTGGACACTCCGAGGTGAAGCCCTCAGCTGGTAACCGAAGGTCATCAGGCTGAACCTGCCAGCTGCCTCACAAGAGAGCGATGTGGCAGTCTGCTTCTGTAGAGACTGAGCAGCCAGGGAAACCCTCTACACTATCCTATGCGGTGGCTGCCAGTTGGCATGGCCTCGCCAGCAGAGGGTTTGGCTTGGGTTTTCTGTCATGCCAGGTGCTGTGCTGGGTCTTGGCGGGGAAGCCGGCTCAGGCGCTGCTCTCGGCGAGAGGCTTCCACCTCCGTTTTGCTCTTTATCCCCAGCCTAACCCTTTCTTCCCCAAGCTCCGTGTGTCTTCGTGTCGAATCCCTGTGCTAACTGTTCGATCAACAATAACGCATGCCAGCAATTCCCAGATCATAATCCTTAAAACACCACCTAAAAGGTAGCGGAAAATTTTCATTATCTTCTAAATCCATTTTTCCATGAACTATCTGATTCCCCTACTTGTCTCAAATATGGTTAAAAAACAAAACAAAACACTTCAGCTATGCTTGTTGTTGCCGGGCGCCACGGAGGCAATCTGCAGCCCCCAGCGACTCCATGTGACAGGGTAGAAATGCCCCCAAGGGTGTCCCAGGCTGCAGTCCTGCCTCAGTGCCAGGCCAACATTAGACACTGAATAAGAAAGGCTGATGAAGAACGGATGCTGCATTCGCATTCGGTGTTGGCAAAGACCACTCAAAGTACCGTGGACTGCCAGGAGAATTAACAAATCTATCTTGAAAGACACACGGCAGGATGCTCCTCAGAACCAAGGCTGGTGAGCCTTCATCTTATACATTTTAGACACGGTATCGGGAGCCCCAGTCCCTGTGGGACATCACGCTCGGTAAAGCAGACGGTCAGCGTAAAAGAGGAAGACCCTCAATGAGATGGACACTGCAGCACAGGGCTCGAACAGAGAAAGGATTGTGAGGTTGGTGGAGGGGCAGGCGCCATTTCATTCTGTTGTGCATGATATGGTGGACTCAACTCACCAGCACCCAATAACCACAAGGAGGGCTCAACGCGCCAACTTTTCCATAAGCAGCCAAGCACACACTGTGGTGCCACCAGGGCTCCTTTGGGAAATACTACATGCCAGACACTCTACTTTCAGAGATTTACAATGCAATCAGCATGAAGGGACTGAGATGGCCTCGTAAGGACAATTTCATTAGGAACCCTTTCTTTAGAGGCACCTCGACTCACAGACCAACGGTGGGAGTATACAATTCACCTTTTCAGCTGATGCTCTGTTTTCTACCAGGTCATCTGAAATGTTTGCCTGGCTTTGGAATAAATAACACTCAGGTCAAGAGATGCTCAAATGTGAAGTGCAACTACAGAAAAGACCCAGATGGCAGCACGACTCACAAGCAAAGCGCACACTTCAGACCGCAGATGCTTACCCCTTTGTAAATGTCCACCGCCAGTGTGGAGTTGTCGTCAGGGAAGAGGTTTTCCGGCATGGGGATGGTAGTGTTTTTACAGACTTGAACCTAGACACCAAAGCAATTTAGGAACAGCTGCTTATTTCAGAAGCAAAGACATACCAGGTAAAAGTGGTTGCCTACAGATTACATACAAGTTACCTATGAACCAGAGCCCAGAGAGAAAAGGCAGGGTACAGACCATGATGTGGGCAGAGACTGGGGGCAGGGTTATATGTGCCCTTCCTCTGTCTACACCCACTACCCGCATGCCCCCAACAATATTGACTGGGTTTGAACTGCATGCCGATACATGTGCACAGGACATTTGAACAATGACAGCAGAGGTCCTTAAAAGGGCTGTTTTCAGGGAAACAGTGTCCATAAAGAGAGTACCCTATGAGTCTCTATCTTCTTCACAACTCCATAAACCATGAAAGGTCAAACAAAAAGATGGGCCAATGGTTTTGAGGTTAGTTTACAAGTTAATTTCCTGAGTATTTACTATGTACTTGCTTGATACTGTTTACTGGTATCATTAAAAAAAGAAAAGAGAGGTTCAAACATAAGAGAAGAGCCAGACTCGTGGCCCTTGGTCAAAGCAGAATCAGAAGTCAGAGGTCCTAAAGATGGGAAACAGAGTAATGGTGGAATCTAGATAAACAGTCCTGATGCATGCCACAACAAGAATGAACCTTAAAGACATGCTGAGCAAAATTAGGCACAAGAAAGCAAGTCTGTATGGTCTCACTTACATGAAATAAGCTAATATGTCCCCAAAGCCAAACTCCACACTCACTGCCATTGAGTCCATGCTGACTCACAGTGACCCTCGGTGGGTGTCCCAGACTGTAATTGTTTAAGGGAGCAGAATGTCCAGTCTTTCTGCCGAGGAGCTGCTAATGGTTTCAGACTGCCGACCAAATGGTTCACAGTCAATACATAACCACTACACCAGCAGGGCTCCTAATACATGCCAAGCCAAGTCAAATTCACTGCCATGGAGTCGATGCTCACTCACAGAGACCCTACAGGACAGGGTGGAACTGTCCCCACAGGACTTCCAAAGCTGTACATCTGGACGGACACTGACTACTCCATCTTCCTTCCAGGGAGTGGCGAGTGGGTTTGAACTGCTGACCTTTCAATTGGCAGGCAAGTGCTTTCACCACTGCACTGCCAGGGCTCCTCAGGCACATAGCCAGAAGCCAAGCTATTGGTGGCCCTCAGGTGGAGGCTGGATGGAAAAGAGGGATAGTCTTTGGATCTGTTGCTGGTGGTGGGATAGTTTAGAAAGGATGTGACAATGGTTGCCTAACTCAAAGAATGTAATTAGTGCCACTGAATTGTACATATAAAAACTGTCGAGTTGGTGTCTGTTTTGCTGTGAATATTTTCACAATAGATACTAAAAAGCATAAACAAAAAAAAACGAGATTATCAGGAAGCAAGAGGATGAAGAATTCAAAATGACAACGCAGACTCTGTCCTGGCCAATTTGTTTGTGGACTCCTCCCAACCAGTCCTCGCCAGCAAACGGCTGCACTGGCAGACAGGCAGACAGAGTTGATGCACAGGCAACAAAAAGGAGATGAGAGAGAGTCACAGAAGCCACGAGCATGAAGTGGTCCTGAGGCTGAGTTGAGGCAGGTTCCCTTCCTGGCCACAGCTGAAAGCCTGCTAGCCCCAGGCTGCGCCCCAGGGAGCCCCGACAGGTGCATGGTGACTCTAAGGGTCACTTAGGGTGGTTGGGATCCATTTCCCTGAGCTCCCAGTCATTGTTTCTCGTTCCTTTCCATTCCAGTCTGCCCGCTACTCTCTCCACTCCTCACGACCACCCATGGGCTGGCCTTACTCACCACCTGCTCATTGGTTTTTCCAAAAAATGCTTCAGCAAAGACGGAGACGACAAAGACGTTGATGACAAAGGAAACAAAGAGCGCGATGCAGGATTCGATGAAAAAGTACTTGTTGGCTTCTCGGACTTCTTGCTTACTGGCCCGGTTTATCTGTCTGGACTGAAGGAAGAGCAGTCACTTCCATCAGCTGGGTCACGTTTTCCTCCAACACTTCATGAGCTTGGAGTCAGTTGAGGGGTTTAGAGGACAAAAACCTGAGACCCAATGAAGGTGGAGCTACCCAGCATTCATTCCGTTCCCAGCCTATGTCGTGATTGAGAACGTCATGACCGCTGCACATTGATCATGCCCCAAGCCGGGAACAGTGACTGACTCCCGAGCTCATAGCTACTGGGACTGGAGGAGGACTGACCTACACCAACAACTAACTGCCTCCAGTCCCAAGAGACTGGAGAGACCTGCTGGCAGCCAGAATTTGATGGGGCCACCTTGCTTTTCTGGGTCTTTCGAGTTCTCCCCCCTTGACAGGGTGCAGTCTTACCACCTGTCTACTACTCTGTTTGGTGGGAAATACTCAAAGTTTCAACCTCAGCTTTAACAGGTCCTGTAACTCCAACCACAGCTGTCTCTCACAGCTCCCAGCAAACCATTGTGTAAGACTGACTGGTAAAAGCCTAGCTGGGCTCTTTCCTTTTAACTGCCAGAGACTGCTCAGTTTCTGAGATTTAAATAAACTTTGGGGCCTTTTTAAAACCGGTCTGTGAAGTCAGTTATATCTGAGCACCTTGGCAATAAGGACAGAACCCAAATGTATTGAGTTTGTGAACATCCAGCTGGAAAAACACCTTGCTCCTTCAGGAGCCTAACAGCTCTAACCAAGCTGGCATCTCCTACAACAGTAGGGTAGACCCCAAGAACGACCCATGAAGCCATTGACACTAGGGACTTGGCTCACCTTGACCAAAGCAGAGTGTAGGTACATATTATGTGGCATGATGACGGCTCCCACGATGCCCACAGCCTGCTCCACCTGTGGGATGTGACAGCCTGAACAGGATGGCACGAACATGCCCTTGAGCACCTGGGTCTGGTTGGGTTTCACTGTAACATACTACACAGAACACGAGCATGATTAGCCTTTCTGGAACACGAGACTGGAGAGTACCATGAGGGGGCAGTCAACATCCATTACCTTGACAACCCCTTTCCAGCCATTGCCCAGAATAACAAGCAGCAGAGAGCCGCCACCACCCAGGCAACACAAAGGGCGCGCTGCTGGGGGTCAGAGAGTTCTAGTCAAGTCGGAAGCATCCAGAAATTTTAAGATATCAACATGATTTTAAGATATATCGTATTTAAAATATATAAAATATATGTGCAAAGAATTAATATTCTAAGGGATTAGAACACGACTTTCTGACATCCATTCAATGCTGACTCACAGTGGGCGACCTTACAATAGGACAGGGTACAACTGCCCCAGTGCGTTTCTAAGAGTAAAGTTTTGGGGGGTTTTGACTGAAATAATTCTTTTTAATTTAAAAATCTCTTTTTTTCTTTTTTAAAATCATTTTATTGGGGGCTCGTACAACTCTTATCACAATCCATACATACATCCATGGTGTCAAGCACATTTGTACATTTGTTGCCATCATCTTTCTCAAAACGTTTTCTATTTGAGCCCTTGGTATCAGCTCCTCATTTTTTTCCCCTCCTCCCCACCCCATCCCCCATGAACCCTTGATAATTTACAAATTATTAATTTTTCATGTCTTACACTAACTGATGTCTCCCTTCATCCATGTAGATCCTTGTGACCAATTCTCCCTTTCTACCTCACCTTACCCTTACCCTCCTGGTATCACTACTCTCA